CCTCAGATTTCCACTAAAACGCTTTCACATATCGCCCCAACACAACCGGACGTTAAAATCTCTCCTGAAAATCATTGCAGCTTTGCCCAGGGCGAATGAGAACGCCCCAATTTGAGTTTAGCTTTCTCATAAATCACATAAAATGCAGGAATTCACCGATGAGCAAATTTGCCACAACTTTTGTGATTATGAGTGAACTTAACTCAAATTTGGGTTGTTTTCATTGGCCGTGTGCTATCCGCTAGAAAAATGTATTAACATTACGAAATATCTACGAATTTCAGGAAAAAAATTGTCAAATTGTGAGACGTTTTGCGAACTTCCAAGTAGTTCTAAGAACACTAGGATAGTTTGAAATACTTCCATTTGAATGAACTTCTATGAGCTGTCTTGTCGGGTCGTCGGTGGAGCAACTCTATGTCAGAGAAAAGAGGTACACACCAAATTTCTTGAATTGTGTTCGGTGCATTTTTTGCTGAACGTGTTTTGTAAAATAAGATTTTTACCGAGAGTTATCAAGTAGAAGTATGTGTTTCAACTCATGTTGGTATTAGTGATAATATTCGAGAGCAACAACTGCCCATGTGCAACACACAAACCCTAACTAGAGTCGATGTATACTAGACTGATGCAAAATTTGAAATTTTCGCTCCACAGTGCTCAAACGGTTCCAAATTGGGCCCTGATTAGCCTCCCGAAATTTGAAGTCATTTAGTGAGAAATTGACTTGGCACAAACCTTTTGTAGTTTATATGGGAATGACTATGGAGAAACCATAATTTCGGTTCATATGTATCTCAAAATTCACCAGTTCACTCTACTTTAGAAAAATGATAGCTGAACTTCTTGAATTCTTGAAATTTTCTCAGCTACAACTTTGTTAAAGACCACTTTTCGATCAAATATAAGGAACAAAAGTTGAGTGTTCACTCGGCTGTCGACAAAAGCAGGCCACTCTCGATGTGTGCTACGCGATCGTCTGTTTTCTCGGCAGCAACCATTGTGTTGTCCTCCTCATTGTTCTTCATCAGCAGTTCTTTCGGTCGATGCGTCGTCGACTTTGGAAAGCAACCGTTTCGTGATGAGTGTGTGAGTGCTGACCACGTTTTGCGTCCATTGTTGCAATGGACGCGCTCTGACCCTCGTTGGCGTACAACAATTTGCCATACAATGAAACTACTGGAAGCGGCTCCAGTTCTGATGGAAGAGGCTTTTTGGATAGCGGAAGATAAAGTGTTTATTGTGTTGTACCTTTTGACTATAATTTTAAGATGTATTGTAAAGTGACCAAGAATCCTCGGCTCTGTAAAGTTAATTCGGTTGAGCCTTATCAAATAAATTAATAAACAAAAAAAAAAAGGAACAAAAGTTATTAATGATTCAAGTCACTGATGTCTTATGATTATGCTCAATCAACTGTTCAGCAGGCAACATTGGTGTTTATGGCGCGTAGAATAGAGGACAAAAATCATGGCTACTATGCCACACTGCAGAATACAGTGTTGCCCACAATACAGTTGCTTAATCTTGCCATAATCATCAATCTCTTAAACAATTAATAACTATTGAATTTGACGTTTGGCTGACAAACGATTTTCTGCAAAGTTGTAGCTGATAAAAATTCCCATAAGAATAGCAATAGAATTTGTTAAAAGTACAATATGTAAAAAGGCTAGAAGACAATGAACAAAAAGTTTTGTTGTCCCATAGTAATTTCCATACAAACTTCAAATGGTTTGTGCCAAGTCAGTTTTTCACTAAATGAGTTCAAGTTTTGGGAGGCTAATGAGAGCCCAATTTGGAACCGTTTGAGCACTGTGGAGCGAAAATTTTAAATTTTGCATCAGTCTAGTGTATACCCAAGCAACGTTGAAAATACTTTTTAATGACTTACGTAAAGAATCAATAATACTTTAAAATACATCATTTAATACACTTATACAACCTAAAAAGCGCAAGACGCGGAGCTTATAAAACTAAATACTGGTCTTATAACATGTTTTGGAAACATCATATAAACCAGCGGCACTGGTGCTTGGCGTGATAGACTTATTATTTCCTAACTAGATCAACTCCGCGTGATGAGAGGTTTGTTATAAGTATCTATCATGTTCTTGCCAATGGCATGAAAATTATATTCTCGTTCAACACGCTTTCGATCCGTCATAATAATATATCATTCAATATTACATTTTTTTTTGCTGTGTATATGAGATTTACTCAAATTTGGGTTATTAGGCTTAACCCAGGAATTGAGGGGAAAATAATAATTTTTGGGTAGTTTTCCATCTTCGTGTACACAGACTCTGATCCTAACCTGGGTCTGGCGGACTCGTAATAGATTTCGAACCAATTTGAACTGTCAAAATCGAACCATTTTTTACTGTTCTTATAAGAGCTCATATGGAAGAAACAGATAGGGAGTATCGTAATCTGAGTAAAACGTAGTTGTTATTATTTTTGGAAACATATTCATAGTTTTGATGAACAAACGTATTGGTTTCCGGATCAATCTCGCAAAAAATCAACCACGCGCGGTGCAAGAAACGATCCTTCGGAAAGCGAAGTAAACTTCTCTTCACCGGTGCACTTGCAGTGTAGCTGCAAAACTTTGCGTAACCTCGCATTTTAACTGCTTAGGAACTTTTATGAAAACCAAATATTATTGATACAGTAGAAAACCGGAAAATTCGACACGCGCCAATCAATTTTACTCTCAATCTGTACATAAAAAATAACGTCATATTTGTACAATGATGCGCCATAATGCACACCATGTCCGACGCTTTGTTGTTGTACAGAACGAGAGTAAAATCGAAAGTCGGGTGTGGGGTTTTCCGGTGTCAAACGCGACCGACAATAACAACGAACTACAACAGACTACAATTACCAATCGATATTTCAAGAGAGTCAGTCTTGCTTTGTTTATCAATTTGACAACCGTTCGAACAGAGTAAAGGCCGGCGCACAATACACTCAAAAAATTCCACACGTCGTCATCATGTGTCTCACACTTAATTTTGCGCATATTGTGAAACACATCCATTTCATGTGTGAATCTTATGCTATGAACCATGCCTGAACACTATGGATTTGAATTGTGACACACTTGGATTCTATGTGCTTCATATGGTGATATCAATAGCTTTGCACACCATAGTTCAATATTCTACAATATTCTACTTTATCGAATTCTACTTTACCGACTCTAAAAATGAATCGACAAATATATAAACAAAACTGCCAGAGGCCAGAGCTTTCACATATATTTTTAATGGGTCTGATTTGGGATTCGATCATGGACTGTTGAGGTATGCTGCTGCCGGAGTCTTCGTTCGATCTCACTGTGCCACGGTTGTTCTCATATATGAGGCAGGTTGATAGGATAAAGTCACAACTCTTGTTATCGATGTTTACCTTTCTGAGCAAGCAATTCACATCGTATTGAAATGCAAAACACTTTAAATCCATCTGTTTTGAACAGTAGCGTGATTCAATGTTCAAATACACTTGAATAGATAGTGAAAGATTTTCAACATTTCAAAGTTTGGAACACTATAAATTAACGTGTATAACACATTGAACCAAGGTGAAATACACTTAAAGTAAATGTGATTGTGCATTTAGAAAATCAAGTGTTTAAACACTTCGATCAAACGTGTGAAATTTTTTGAGTGTAGATACGTTTTCGGGTTTTTTGACAGATAATGCATGGGCTAACTGTCAAAAAACCTGAAAACGTCTCTATTGTGCGCCGGCCTTAAAGCTTGCTGCAATGCGTCTTGGATAGTGTCTGAAACTGGTTGCGATTCGACTTCGCCAGACCCAGATCCTAACCACATCGATATCCTGTCAAAATGTAAGCAAACCCTATATTTTGCGGTGCTTATTTATTGTCGATTTAGGCAACAATCAATATGAAACTAACGATTTTAAATTGGCTCACCACTTTAGTAGCCTATTGGTCCCAAGCAAGCGATTAACGTACCCTATTCTAGTCGAAATTCTAGTACTACGCAATGTTTGTTTTGATTCGCTATGAAAGTTTGACAGATAAAATGAGGGGTTATTGGTTTTTCCTATGTTTCGAGGGGTGATTCGACAAGCTTGGGACCGAAGATAGTACCAGAGGTGAGCCAAAAAGTAGAGCACGTTTCTTCGGGACCTACTTGTCTTAGAGTTACCTCTATGATTTAGGGCTTATGTTTTCAGAGTTTAAAAGAGCTGAATAACCATAGGACTGCAACGCCTGTCATCTGCAAAAAACTCGAGTGAAGCCAAATTTATCTGGTGCTCTGGTGATAATTTGACAGCTCCTCCTTTTCCTCTATGATTAAGATTGGTACATGCCGCGCCGCATTGCGGAAAATAGATAGAGTTTTCCAGAAAACTTTATAGAAAAGCATGATTCACGCAAATTGTGCTCGTCAATTCGAAAACAACTAAGTTTTTTTTTTTTTAATTTTTTATTGCGGGAAAGTAAGAATGGGTTTGAAGGCATTACATTTGTTGCCACCTTGCCGTATTTAATGTTACATGGTTGGAGCTTAAATATGTCATGGATGTTTTTGGCAGTTTCAAGAACTGGATCGCGCGCAGGGGGTTGTGAATAACGCTTATTAAATCCATTTGAACGTGAGCCGCAAAGATCTCCGAAAAGTGTTGTTTACCCGTTGCTATTATCTAGACCTAGAACCGCAATGTGCAGTTGATAATTCACATCTATAGAGTAGACATGTTTGTTCCTGCTAAATATGTGTGTTGTTCGAGTTGAGTTCTACTAGAAGAGTTGACATAGGTGTAGCTGCTAGCCGAATCGCTTCGTGACCTACCTTTTAAAAGTCACTGCAAACATTCGGGGATTGTTTTTGAAGCAAATCAAAGTATAATTGGGTTATGCTAATTTCAAATTATTACGGTTGAATTCTGATCAAACGATCAGAATTCAACGAAAGTTTGAGGAATTTAGCTCTGAAAAGAATGAATCTCATTTTTCACAGAATCGTCAAAGGCTTCCCGCCCGTTTCACCGTTCATCGGAGTTAGTCCGACGCTCTGTTTCCTGTTGAAGGAAAAGAAACCCCTCTGTTGCTTACAACTTGCTCAAGTAAGTGCCCCCAAGCCTTGCATGCAGTCGTTCATTTTGATTGATTTCATGACTCTTTGTCAAGGTCTGCGAACACTGTAGCTATCGCAATGCCAAGGAGTACCAGTGGCAAAACAAAACAATCATCCTGGCCGCTGACTACGCCTCAAACGGTATCTACAACTTCATCATCCCGTTAAGGGCGCATTTCCGTTCGAAAACATCCCTCAATCCGATCATTCTGCTGCTGGAACGGCGACCGGACATTGCCTTCTTGGATGCCATCTCCTACTTTCCATTGGTAAGATAAGATTTGATCAAGCGGGCTTCGATTTTCACTTCCATGACAACGGTTTCATCTTTCCGACAGGTTTACTGGATGCTTGGATCTATCGATTGCTTGGATGATCTGCTGCGTGCTGGCATCACACTGGCCGAAAATGTGGTGGTGGTAAACAAAGAACTGTCAAATTCGGCCGAAGAAGACTCGCTATCGGATTGTAATACGATCGTTGCCGTGCAAACCATGTTCAAGTATGACTGGATAGGGTGGGGTTCTTAGGTCTTTTCCGGACTGATTTGTGGTGTATTTTCCGCTTAGATTCTTCCCAAGCATCCGTAGCATTACCGAACTGTCACAGAGTTCCAACATGAGGTTCATGCAATTCCGCGCTCACGATAAGTACGCACTGCACCTGAGCAAGATGGAAAAGGTAATTAGATCGCTAGATGCACAACTAACCGGTTCCGATCGAACCAACTCTGTTGACACTTTTGCTGATCTCCAACAGCGTGAGAAAGAGCGTGGTTCGCACATTTCGTACATGTTCCGATTGCCATTCGCCGCCGGCAACGTCTTCAGCGCGTCGATGTTGGACACCCTGCTGTATCAGGCCTTCGTAAAGGACTACGTCATCACATTCGTGAGGCTGTTGCTCGGAATTGACCAAGCGCCCGGCAGTGGGTTCCTGACTTCGGTTAGTCGGCGTTATTTGGGCGGAGGTTATGTTTAATTGAACTTTTGCTCTGATCTTTGCAGATGAAAATTACGAAAGATGACATGTGGATCCGCACCTACGGTCGACTGTATCAAAAGCTCTGCTCGACGACTTGTGAGATCCCGATAGGCATCTACCGAACGCAAGAAACTAGCGGTGCAGAAGCGTCACATGTGAGTAGCTCACCCATCGCCGAAAAATGGCGTCCGTTTGGATCTTTCGGCATTAAACATTGTGTGCGGTTGCGACCAACGGTGAGTCCCAGCATCGTCTTCCAGCAAAAGACATGATCAAAAGGCTGCCTACATTTACCACCTTTCGAGCCTTTTTCTTATTATACTCAAGTTTTTATTTTTAACTGCAGATTACAATACTTGCTCATTCTCTTCTCGGATCTCTTTCCATTTGGTTTTCGTTTTGTTTTCTCAAATCAGTTCGCAATTTTTTACCTCTATTCCTCTCAATCTCTCAGTCTCTATTTAAATCTTTCCTGCTCGATTTTCAATCCTATTAGTTTGTTTTGAATTCAGTTGAATCTTTTGGCTTTTTCGTTCCACTAATAAATGACTGCTCTGTCATAATGTACGCTTTCCATCATCCAAGCAAGCGCTCTCAAAAGTAAATACTCATGTTCAAAAAGCCAATCAAAGACGCAAATCGCAAATGCAAACAACGATCGAAAGTCACGCTCACATTCATATCAGCGCAAAAGTCACATACGCCCACACTGACGGAAATGGTCGGTTCATTCTAACAGTAAATTGTGTACATAATCGCAATCGAAACTCAACTCAACCGCTTCCGAACAAAATCGGCCAAATCAAAACCGGACAACTCTATCGCTTGCTAGATCCTGTCAGTTTTAGTCACTCTCTCCTTCTCTCTGTCATTACTAGTAGTGTCAGCGCATAGCGAAGCGGAATCCGTCTTGTTTTAGTATTATCAATTAACAGTAGAAGTCCCGTTTTGTGAATTGATTTGCTTGCTTCCACCAGTTCGACTTCCTTAAATGCTAGCCGATTACATTCGAAGTCTTCGTGTAACCATTGCTACTTCTACCGCTTCTTCCTATTCAACGGAATACTGCAAACAACGATCAGCGTAGAATAGAACCGGTTAGTGATAAGCTCTCTCGCTGTCAGATCATGCAACCGCCGAATCTCGCAGCTCTGGGTTGAAAAGTTGTTCGATCTTTTTTTTTGGTTCGATGAGTTTGTTATTATTGTCGTTATATCATAACACTGTTGAAAATTGGATAAATGTTCTGACAGTAAAATTCCTCAAATAATCAGTAACTTCACACTTCGAACAAGTCATGTAAATAGCGTGGACTCCCGGTAATCTGACCGTTTTTAAACTTAACACTAATCTGCACACCGTGCTAGCTAAAAATGGCTCTTCCGATTGTGCTATAATAGTCAAAATGATTAGTGCCTACCGCGCTGAACTGTCAGAGGAAACTATTGCGAGAGACATTTGTCTTTGAGAGCAGCTCAAAAAATTATTCACTTTTAAAATGTGTTATGCTCGGTACTCTTTCGACTGATGTTTCAACTTCCTTGTCGATTTTTGGCAACCCAGGAATCGAAAAACAGCTAATGATTCATTCCGGTAATTCCTGGAAATCAGGTTGGCCTATTCTGCGCGGCGTGTGAGGTGAGGTGACACGCTGTCACCTGTGAAGTGACAATTGTCACCTCGGGTGAGGTGACTCTCCGTGCAAATCAAATGAAGAGTCACCTTACCCGAGGTGACAATTGTCACTTCACTGTCACCTCACCTCACACGCCGCGCAGAATAGGCCTAAGGAAGAACTTTTATTCAGTAAACAAATAGGTCCATCAAAATGTTTATTTATTTACTTTCCAAAGTTTACTTAATCTTCCTTTGGAAGTTTCTTCCAAAAATCCCCTGGAATTGTCTTCTTCCTTACACCATAAGCTATTTTCCGATTTCTCCCGGAAAGCTCCCGACGACTGGTTTCGCTCGCAAGGTTCTTCTCAAGTTTTTTTTTTTTTGAGTTAGTCGGAACTGCTTCCAAAGTTTTATTGTGGTTCCAATAGCTTCAGGAGTACTCCATAAACTTTTAAGATCTGAAAGGGTAAGTTTAAAAGGTCTTTAAGGGAATGTTCCGATGTAAGAAATACAGTTTCATTAACTTCTGTTAATAGAACCCGGAATTTCGGGAAAGTCCAGAGAACTCCAGTGAACCTAAGGAAACTTCAGAAATATTTTCGAAACTTCACAAGTCCAAAGAACTCCAGGGAATTTAATGGTTTTCAGGACAGTTCAATTCATTTCAAGAGAATTGTGATAACTTTCGGGAAGCTCTGAGAACATCAGAACCGAACAATTGATTTCAAGCAGATTACTGAATGTTCCGAGAATCTTCAACAAAGTTCCAAGAGGTTTATCAAAATTTTGGAGTAATGCTCCGAAAACTTCAGGGTTATCTGAATTGCTGTATCATTAGAACATGTAAGGAACATCTGGGAGTGTCCCAGAAAATCTCCCAGATATCTCTTTCGTCCGAATTATTTCCCCAGAGAACTTGAAGTTTCTTTCAACTGTTCCGTAAGCCCTCTGACTTTCGACTTTCTCCAGAAGTCAAAGTTCTACGGGATGTGTATATCGAATTTTCCCAGAAGTTTCTATCGCCATCCCGTAGGTATTTTCCGAGCTTTTTCTGGCGTCCCCTGGAAATAGCCACTCCTGGAATTAGTTTCCGATTTCCGATATTCTGGCTTCCTCTGGCCACTTGTTGAATGCGTCGACGACAATCAAATAGTAGTTTCCGTCGAACGGTCCAGCATAGTACGCATGTATCCGCTGCCACGGTTTATCAGGTGCAGGCAAGGATTCCAGGTTAGTTTTGCTGTTGGTCTTGACTGCTGCTTTCGAGCATTCTACACATGATCGGACAAGTTGACTGATATGCTCATCGATCCCGGGTCAGTAGACGTAGTTGTGTGCTATGAAACGGATCCATTCTACTCAAGGATGTCCTTTGTGGAGAAGACGTACAACTCGATCTCGAAATTTCGTTGGGATCACCAATCTTTCTCCTTAGGTGAGACAATTGGAAACAACTGGTAGACTGTCCCGACCTTGGTAAAACTGTTGTAGCAGTGGATCGTTTATTTCGGACTGATTAGACGGCCAAGTTGCCCAAACGAGCTGCTTGACTTGCTTCAGTACTGCATCCAACTCTGTTACAGCTTGAACCATCCAAAATTTGACTGGTAGGGCTTCGACTGACTGCTTGACGATGTCTTCCATGGAGGCTTTCAGCTCAACTGATGCGATGACAAACTCTTCGTTCGGACGGACGTGGGTTGATCAGGTGGGATCAGTAGTGTATACAGCAATGCCTTTTCTCGAACCAAATATTTCTAACAAAGGCTTGTTTCCAGAACGACCTGTCGTCCGAAAATCATCCGATGGAACCGTGTTACGGCGAAGATCAAAACGAGTCCCTCTTTCTCGATTTGGCTGTAGTTTTCGGCTGCTGCGAGGCTTCTTGACGCATACGAGATCGGTTTCACAGATCCATCTGGTAATCTGTGGGCAATGCGAGCACCAATTCCGTAACTTGACGCATCCACCGACACTATGATTTTCGGCCCGTACTTTTCGTAATAGTTGACGGCTCCTAGGTATGAACGAAGTGATGATACATCTCGAGGCGGTGGTATGCTGACGATGGCTGCTGCCTTGTCCAGGTTGGGTCTAATACCATCGTCGTCCAAAACTTTTCCCAGGTATATCACTTGCTTCATGCTGAAACTGCATATCTCAATCCGGACGGTTAATCCGTGTTCCTCCAGACGGTGAAACACTTACCTCAGGTCGACTAATACGTCATCTAAATAACGACAGGCTCCTTTGACGTCACTCACCATTGCGTCCATGATCTGCTGTAAATGCACCCGGAGCTGATTTAATGACAGGTGTGAGGCGAGTTTACCGAAAAAGACCTTCGTGGGTGTTAACTGTTAGAAGAGGCTGATCTTGGCGGTCCACTTCCACTGGAAGGTAAGCTATGACTGAAGACCGTGCTGCCGGGCATCTTAGTAAAGATATCTTCTGGCAAGGGAAGCGGACACTGATTTTACTCCGCACGGTAGGTGCTGCCCAATCTGAATGATCAACTGGATTGAGGATTCCCAAATTCTGCTGCCGTTGAAGTTCGTCTTCCACCGCACCTTGAACGCTGTATGCAACTGGACGTTTCGATCGGTAGACTGGTTTTGGGTTTCATTGGAGTGTCAGCTGGTCCACAGCGTTGCAGTGGCTGTTCAGTACCGAGATGTTGGCTGGTAACCTTGTTGCAAAAGGAACTGATAGGAATGTCCCAAAACTCGAAAAGCTCAATCCAGTCGGAGCCTAGAATGTTCAAATCAAGATTAAGTGAAGCAACATGGCACAAACCTTGTTTTGTAATGCCGCCAATGTTTACATTACACCAAAATTCCAGGACCAGAAAATGATCCAAATGTCTGACGCTGATTCGATCTTGAGCTTGAGCTTGAGCTTGAGCTTGATTGACCGCCCACGGTTCCTACTCTGTTACTACCAGATCAGCTGTAATTACACAGAGAACCAATAGACGATGCTTGGGACTAGCAATCATCCTCAATGTGAAAAAACTGGTGATCTTAAATTAGGCAATACCAGCGCCGGCCGCGCCCGAACACAGGTCAAGAAAGGAATGGGAAGGATTGTGTTGACATGACACTCACTTTGATGGAAGCCGAGAACACCTCTGCACCTCCACGAGGAATCACTGGGATGTTGGATAAGAGGGTTGGGTTTGCAGCAGGGTTCGTTTTGGTAAACGATAAGTTGAATTGATGTCCTAACGATCATATAACGTGAAGGAGCTTGGGACTAAACCCACGGTCTTCTGCTCAGTAAGCAAAAACGTTTGCCACTAGGCAGACGAGCACCTTTTTAATCACCGAGTTGCTGTTATTACCATGTAGTCATATTAGCAAATAAAACGATTGACGAATCTTGAATGTGGATGGGCCTGAGATTAGACTCATGATGTTCTGCTTAGTAAGCAAAAACGGTTGCTCTAAGGCAACCGAGCCCCTCATATCACATAATACCGTTGCTCAAATTTTTGTATCCATTCAAAACCGGAACTAACGACAACAACGAGTTTCGCAAAATACACGATACACAAGCGATTTTACCATAAATCTCTTTGATATGTAAGGACCTAGGACCGCGTTTTTCTGCTCAGTAAGCAGGCCACTGTAACCGACGATCTTTCAAATCCGAAAACTAAAAACTACGAAAAAGTACTTAGGCCTTCATTAAGTTCCACTTTCACGCGACGTTCAATGACAGGGTCCTATCCAGGATTACATCTGAAAAATCCAAATCTGGCCAACGCCCACCTAAACCTGTTCTAATCCACCTGAAATGACTAACGAATGGAAGACTTTGACTACCCAGCCATGCAATAGTCTCATTCCGTGCCTTATGGCAACTTGATGATTCTATTGCGCTCATCTTTTGGCACCACCCAGGGGAGACTTGGTCCTGTACCCAATGCTTAACTTATCTCCATTCCACTCGGCTACTCGCAATTTCTTGTGATATAGTGGGCGGAATATTATTATATGAGACAATTCAATGCAGACGTCTTTCCAAATTTGGCAGATCGACAGGTAATCGGTGAGTTACCACGATAGTTGCTATTCAACAACTCGACAACGTCCCATCGTCAACGCCTGCTATGAGAATTTCCCATTGCAGACGCCAACGAAATGACGTCATCGAGCTATCGATCAACTACCCTGGTTATCGCCTGGTACCTTATAGCACGATGCTAGGAGGCGAACCGGAAGAATCGATGAGCTACCTCTCCCCCCAAATATCTGACGCTTATTCGATCTGCAATCGAACTGGAACCTTGTTGATCTCAATCTCGCAATGCTTCATCCTTTAGCTGATGTTCTTCACTGACACGATCTTCACATCCTTGCTGCCCTTAGTATCGTAATTATTTTTCTTCTTCTCACCGCTGCCGCTGCTTCTACTAGACGAAAAACAAGCATAATATCCTTCCTTATGGCGAAAGTATCATATCAAGAAGACTGGCAACTTTGCCAGAATCCAAGCGACAGATACAGTAGCGCTGCGCTTGAGTGAAGGTACAAACCTTTCTTCTGAGGATGTAATCTTTGCTATACAATTCATTCGAAGCATTTTCCTTTGATCGCTAGATGACGCGATTGTACTTGTCTCATAGCGGTCGTATGAGAAATTAGAAGAGTTGCCAGTCTTCTTGATATGTTGTCTTCGCTTATGGCCTTTCTTCTTACATTCCCGACACTGATGTTCGAGGAAAAAGCAATCCACCGAAAAGTGCATGTCCTCACAAGACTAACATGAAGTGTTGGGTTGATTGCTGTTGGGTTTTGCCCCGGTGCCTTGCTTATGTTTAGACTTGAAAGGGTGCTCCTGATGGACTGCGTGAACAGCACTGAATGATTGCTGCTTCTCTACTAGACTCGAGACCAAACTGTTATCCTGTTTCAGGTTCGGCAAACTCTTGCAATCTTCAACCACTTTCTCCAGAGTCTCGTTCAGTTTAGTGATTAACCTCATGCGGTTGTCGGAATCACGTGATGACTTTAATCCGCACGCAAAGATGAGACATTTGAACCCGGGACGGGATTTGACAATCGAGCTTCTCACTCTTCTTGATGTTTTTGAATAATGCCCTTCGGAAAATTGGGCGTGGTGTTTGACGGAGTTGTCCAATGATGTCAGGAATGTATTTTTTTTTTCTTTTTTCATTTGGATTTTATTTGGAGTTTCTACTGCAGTTTAGCAGCTTGTACATCAGTTTTGCTCAACACCATGAACAAACAACAATATCCATCGCTTAAAAAACGCAGTGCACTCAATTTGACAACTTTCCTTTCGCAAATATAAACAATTAACAACGGCATCACTGCCAGCCAAATTGTTGCGATCCTCTGTCCTTTTTATTCCACGATTGTACTGTCAAATCGACCAATCAGAAACTGGCTCGGATTTGACAGCAAATGGGCTCGAAATCGCTACCCGATTGTCAAGTCCCGTCCCAGATTTGAACTGCTTCGCCGAAAACTTTCGTAGCTTGAAGTCCACACACGCCTTATTCACTTTACACGAATACGACACAAGATCATCCGAATCGTCCTTTGACGTCTGGAAACACAAATACCAGCGGTGAAAAACAGAAACTGGTGATCCGAAAATCGTTTTCAGCTTCGCTATTGTTTCACTGAATGATAGCTCCTTTGACGGTTTAGGTAAGATGAAACTGGTAAAGCGTTCGTGTAGTTGTGGATTCAATTTCCTCATCAGTAACCGGACTTTCACGGCATCGTCCAGATTTCCAGCATCCTTGTCGAACAAGTCCGCGTACCTCGCGTACCACGCATCAAAGGTAGAGCCCTGTTCCGGATCATAGACACCGAGAGCGAATCCAAAAACAGTTTCGTACCTTGGCAAGTTTTGAATGGCCTGCTGGATCGCTGTAACTTGCTGCGTGAGCTGCGTCATCAGCTGTTGCTGCTGCTGGAGGATCTGCATAAGCATCTGGTTGGTATTTAGTTGCTGTGCTGTTCCTTCTCCTGCTTGCTGACCATTTTGATGTGGCATGACGTTAACCTCGAAACTTCGCATGCGGAAATCGACCGACGGAAAACTAACTTTTACGGACTATTTCACGAAACCGGCACCGAGAATACTCGTCGCCACTTTGTTTTAATTAATTACATGTCAATACACTTTAAAGTTGTATTCAAATACTAAAATACAAAATTTGTTAACGGCGTGGTTTCAAGTGCCTTAAGACTGGTGACGGACTGATCCTGTCGGGTGACAGATCTCATTCTTCCTTATCTACACTGTAAAAAGTTTTCAGTTAGTTTCTATTAGGAACGCACCTAGTATTTTTCCAAAAACAAAAACAATGATTTTTACCTGAATATCACATAGCATTAGAAATTCTATATGAGAAATCATATAGATTTCATTGGACACATAACGTTCATTTGATTTAGTGGTGCAATTTCCAATTATGGGATCACATGAAAGTTATGTGAAATTCACATGGATGTTTTCCACTGGTTATGTGATTTATTTTATGAGTGTAGCTCGACTAGACGTCGATCGATTTGATAGGGTATGGCAATTAGATGAGTTGGTTCGTAGGGTGGTCCTCCCAACTGTGGTGAATGCCGATAAATAACGATTTTTATAACATTTAATACCGATAAGCTTGAAAACAATCTGGCAACGCTGGACTACACTCAACATTGAGTTTGTCTGATCGTCCGTAAAGGGATGTAACATATCACATCAAGTTCGGACTCCGAGATTGGGTCCTAAGAGTTTCTTGGGAGTTTGGGGACCAAATCGGGCACTCTGGATAGTCTGGGTTTTTTTTTTTTTTTAATATTCGACAGTGTTTTTTTTTTCTTTCTGAAGCTCAATTATAAACAATTAAAACGAACAACTTTTCGACCCAGAAGGCAAGCAAAAGATTCTCTCGACTATGCGATGCTAGAGCCCCTTGTCCGCAATCCAATGAAAGCCTTTCTCCTTCAATTAGACGCTTTTTTCCCAACCTCAACCTCAGTCACAAACTTCCCTGCTCTGTCCACCACCCCCCCCCCCCTTCCGTGCTCCTGTGTATCGTCTGTCGTTTCCTCTAGTAGTGGTACAATTTCTGTTTTTCTAGCTAAAACCAAAACTTTCCCTTCAGTTCTTGCCGTTCATGTATCGATCGGTTCAAATCTCAGTTTTACGTTCCTTGGTTCTTTAACTACGGTAAATCATCAATGAATGCTTCGACGCCGGTCGGACGTAATCATTTTTTAAATATTACAAAACAGGCTCATCACGGACGAATTATTTGATCGCACACGCACACAGTGAGTCCTTTTAGTTCAATTAGATTTTTTTTTCTTTGTGAATCTCAACGATAACTTAACTAAAAAACCGTTTAGAATCCCCTTAAACACATACTGATCTGTAACTCGTACATACAAAGCTTGGTGAAAAGTTTGTTCCCTAGTTTTCCCGTTCAATGCTAGCCGTAGATTGTCTTCACCCAGACCTCTTTCTCCAGCCCCCCTTCCCAACAATGTGTTCGAAAAGATGAACCGTATCTGTTTGTCTTTAGCCTTTAAACCAATCTCCCACCAGTTTCGTGGTTCAGGTAAAGCTGCAACTACTTCTTTTTTTGTTTTGCATGACCTTGTTAACTTTGTTATCATCTCCCTCCCCCTCAATGAAGTGTTTCTTTGTGATAACCCGTTTCAACATCAGGCCAGAGAAGGTACAAGCTTTAGCAACATGTAACTCTAACAAAAGGTTTCATTCATTATCATGAAATTTAATTTAGAAACGGAATTCCGTTGCTTTAGCTTAGTGATTATCGCTCATAGTTTTAAGTTGAACTTTTGTTCCAGTGCACGGGTCAGTTTGAGTTTCGAATTATTCCGACATCCACCACGATCACAGTAGGCGTCAATTACATTTTCATTGCTTCCTAGATCCAAATCAATCACGAGAACAACAATCAACCCACTCTTCTGTTGTTTGTTTTGGTTTTTGTTTTTGGTTTCGTTTCCTCATTCGTTACACACTGAAACAAGTTTACATGTTGATATATCTTCTGTACGAAAACTAATATCTAATTCATCTTAACATTATTGGAATCGCTCGCTTGATCTCGCATGTCCGTTTGTTCGTTACTAAAAATTAACAATACCAACCCAAAACCTGTAAAACACATCCAACCAACCAACCAACCAACCAATCAACCAAAAAAAAACATGAATCGACTAAACAACCGACACCACTCCATCATCATCATCATCCGCGAATCGGCCAATCGGTGTAAATCAGTACGAAGAGGAAGTGGTGACGACGACGGCAACCGCCAGCAGCACTTCGGCCTCCGGCGTACCGATCAAGGGCGTCGCGGAAGCGAACCTCCGTGGCGTCACCTACCGGCCGCCACCAACGACGTCGATGCGCAAGTCGTCGTCCTGTCTCGGGGGATGTACCGCCCGCCGGGGATCGAGCGTAAGTGTGCCACCTATCTTCGTTCTATGGTATCTCCCGATTTTGTTCTTCCTTTGCAAAAGAAAACACCTCACCTTCCTCACCAATAATTCCATAATCACATTAGATACAACATCCACCCCCACCCCACCCACAGCTGCCGCGATCACCAAATTGATTTTTTCAGGATCGTTTTGAACCGTAGTGTGGGTTTCGATCCAGTAGGCCTATTGGATCGCTCAACAATTCTTTCGTGTTTCCCCAGAGAACTTTCTCTCATTGTGTTCATACTTACACTTGATCATAACAAGGCTGTGAATTTTCACTTAAATTTGACTGATGGAAAATTTGCTATTCAAGCGGAATTATTTCTGACAGACTAGATGTCAATTTTGCAAGCACCTTCTCGAAAATCGGCCGATCAACAACATTTTAATTTATTTTCGAAGTGTAAAATTTAAGTGGAAATTCAAGTAACGGAACACAGCCTAAATACATAAAACAGACACTGCAGACCAAACAATAACACATCGGATACAAGGTGTGTATAGATAGGTGTTACAATGTGTCAAATTCGTGTGATTCAGCCTTATTCAGTTTGATTGAAAACTGCAGTCGACTGAGTTTGTTTACAAACAAATTTGGACAATGAACGATATCCGCGACAAACTCGGATTTGTCAATTCATTTTGGACGGAGTATCTTTGATAATGCGGGTAACTTTGATAATTTATTCTCTGCGCTTTTTTGTCAAATTGGAAACATTGGTACCACATTGTAGCTTAGGGTGGACAGGTTGATATCATATATTTGACGTAGGATTACGTGATCGGTATCAATATTCGGCGACTGTGTTAGGGAACCCACTTTTTGCAGGCAAGCGGTGATAATTTTGATCACCATTGCAACAGTTGGACATTTGTGTAATTTTCAATTTTGAAAATTGATAAAGTTTTCATTTCAGCAGATTCGCAGAAAAATTTCCAATCGATTGGCTTGTTGAAATACGTAATTCTATGTCAAAATATCATGAGAAGTTATTGGAGACATATGAGCACCTGATGGCTTTGCAATAATTTCTGAGACACAAAGAGAATCTCTAATATTTTGCATGATTGAAAATGGCCGAACTTTAGTTCAAATGTGAATTACTGGCCATAATAAACAAATACGCAAATTTTCATGCAAATCGGAGAAGCTCGCGTCAGATCGTTATTTGTCGTGCAACTGCTCCCTTTTGAAACGTTATTTCTATAAAAAAAAAACTACAAAGGACAGCCCTATGGGGTTGTACGCAATGGTGACGTAGGACTACGTGGTCTTATATAATAAATCTTATTTGGTAACTGCTGCAGGAGCTTTTGTTTTGTGTAGGAACAGGAATTTGAGCGGGGTTCTTTCTGTTTATACTCTTTAGTATGGCGCGCTACTGTGTTAGGGAAATCGCTTTTCGCAGGCAATCGGCAATCTTAATTACCATTGCAACAGTTGCACATTCGTGCAATTTTAAATAGCGACAAAAAATACTTGAAAAATGATAAAGTCTTAAATTAAACATATGCGTAGAAATATTTCTGATCAATTGATGATAAAATTATTGAAATTGGTCCAGGGGCAGCTGAGTTATTAACGTTCAAAATATTTCATAATTTTGTTACACGTTCTAATTTAGGTTTTCACGAAGTGTACCCCCATATATAAATCACAAACGTAGTCCTACGTAAAAAAAAACTTTCCAGTTCTTACGAACAAAATTATTAACTGTACTTTCATCCCGCGTTCTCCATTCCCATATACTGTGAAAGAGCTGAATCGTACCTGTATATACACACCTTGATTTGAACATAATTATCGCTCAACTTGTCAAATAGGTTAATCTTCGTTGATCGATTCTCTTCATCAACTTTCTCTTTCGTAAATAACTGGATTATAAAATCGTTTTCTACCGTGTCTATGCTTCTTTCGTCGAACGGTGTGTCGAAAATATCCGGAAATATCTTTACACGGCCTTGCCGATCAAAACAGACAGCCGATGAAAGGAATCGATCATCATTCGAGCAGTTTAAAAAGACGTTTCTACCAAACGAACTTTGCCGTGGCACAATATTTTGTAAAAATGTGTTATAGAACATCGAGAAAATTGTTTCTCATTTAAAATAAGCTAGAAAAATCAGGAGTTTGTTGGTCCATTTTTCTTAAAATCACTGGCAGAAGGTTGTCTCTAAACTGCTCGGCAATATGATCAATGGACCACAGCAAATTTTTTCAAAAATCGGCCATCAAATTACTATTTTTTATGAAACGCACAAATTTCGGTTACTTTCCTCGTGGTTCTAGAAGAAAAAAATCTCAAAATAATGTTATACAGTAATGACCCGATTTTGTCAGCCCCCTTTTTTAATTTTTTTTTTTTAATGTTCTACGAATTCCATGCGCATTTCCAGAGGTCCTATTGCATTCAAGCATACCTTGAACATCCATCTTGAAGATGAATGAGAAAGATGTGGAATTCCGACTATGTAAAATTATTTAACGAGACAACTCTGATGCGAGGAAGGGCTGGCAAAATCGGGTCATTTCTGTATTTCGAAATTTGAGTGTTAGTAAACGTCATTTAAACTGCTCGAATGAAGTGGTTAATTGAAATTGGTCTATTTGAAAAATTGAGCGAGAATTTAACCAACTGTCTTTCATAATGATTGGCTGCAAATGGACTTTACTCGCAATTACTTAAGGATCAATTTACAGTACTGGTCAAAATAAAGTACGCACTTCTGATAATGACAAGTTTTCTTGTTTTTGTCAATATTTATTATATACAGTTTTTTGAAGTGTTCGAACGAAGTAAGCATTAAAGATTTACTTTCGGAATATGCTATGTTCCGGGCCATGAGAGTGGTAAACTATTTATTTGATAACAACATTTATTGGGAAACCGTCCATTTCTGAGTGGACAAAATAAAGTACGCATTACAATAAATTCTGCATTTTCAATGCTTGTTCTTAAAATTAATACTAAGTATGACCACAAACGAAATGACAGACGACTAACTGGCGAAGAAATCAATTAAAATAATGTAGTTCACTGTAATAGAATTTTCTTAGAAGCTTGTGCCAGCAGCCACCAGATGGGCTAGTATTTTTGTTTTGATTTGAAGAAAGTTGATTTTGTGTGCAATGATTTTTGACAGTGTGCAAAAAGTGTATAATTTTGTCATTTTTTATACATTTCAGTTTTGAGTAGAGTGAAAGCGATAGAATCAAAACATTCTAGTACACATGGTGAAAATGCTAGTACAATCCAGTAGTAGCATAGAGGTAACTCTAAGACTAGAAGGTCCCGAAGAAACGTGCTCAACTTTTTGGCTCAGCTCTGGTACTCTCTTCGGTCCCAAGCTAATCGATTCACCCCTCGAAACATAGGAAAAACCAATAACCCCTCATTTTATCTGTCAAACTCTCATAGCGAATCAAAACAAACATTGCGTAGTACTAGAATTTCGACTAGAATGGGATACGTTACTCGTTTGCTTGGGACCAATAGGCTAGTCAAGTAGTGAGCCAATTTAAAATCGTTAGTTTCGTATTGATTGTTGGTAGTAGTGTTGCCATGTGGTACACTGAAAAATTGCAATTCGAGCTGCTCCGTCTGTCACTTCGTTTGACCATAGAGGTAACTAAGACTAGAAGGTCCCGAAGAAACGTGCTCAACTTTTTGACTCAGCTCTGGTACTATCTTCGGTCCCAAGCTAATCGATGCACCCCTCGAAACATAGGAAAATCCACGAACCCCTTATTTTATCTGTCAAAAAATCATACCGAATCAAAACAAACATAGTGTAGTACTAGAATTTCGACTAGGATGGGGTACGTTAATTGATTTACTTGGGACCAATAGGCTAGTCAAGTAGTGAGCCAATTTAAAATCGTTAGTTTCCACCGGTTGGTATGACCAACTTTAGCTTCAATGACGGCTTGCAAGCGTCTTGGCATACTTTCAACAAGGTTTTTGATGTGCTGAGGGTTGATTTCCATCCAGGGCTTCAAACAGTTTGTCACGGTTTGTCACATCTTCTGAGGTCAACATTCTGATCCAAGTTTTCAATGGGATTCAAGTAAGGGCTCTGGGCCGACCATGCCAATAGTTTGATACGTGAAGCATGGAAGTAGGCAGAGGTTTTGTGAGCGGTATGCTTGGGGTTGTTGGCTTGCTGAAAAGTAAACTTTTTATCTCTAAGCCAACTTTACGGGATGACTCCTTTAGATTTCTTTTCAAAATGCTGATGTAGGAGTCTGCCGTCATTATTCCATCTAATTCAACCAGATTTCCCACTCCAGTCCACGCAAAGCATCCCCACACCATAATATCAACAATCAATACGAAACTAACGATTTTAAATTGGCTCACCACTTTAGTAGCCTAGTGGTCCCAAGCAAACGATTAACGTACCCTATTCTAGTCGAAATTCTAGTACTACGCAATGTTTGTTTTGATTCGCTATGAAAGTTTGACAGATAAAATGAGGGGTTATTGGTTTTTCCTATGTTTCGAGGGGTGAATCGATTAGCTTGGGACCGAAGAGAGTACCAGAGCTGAGCCAAAAAGTTGAGCACGTTATTTCGGGACCTTCTAGTCTTAGAGTTACCTCTATGATAATATCATAGAGGTAACAGAAGGTCCCGAAGAAACGTGCTCAAATTTTTGGCTCAGCTCTGGTTCTCTCTTCGGCCCTAAGCTAATCGATGCACCCCTCGAAACATAGTAAAATCCACGAACCCCTCAATGTACTTTCATAGCGAATCAAAACAAACATAGTGTAGTACTAGAATTTCAACTAGAATGGGGTACGTTAATTGATTTGCTTGGGACCAATAGGCTAGTCAAGTAGTGAGCCAATCGGTTGATAATATTGCCACCTTCGTGCTGCCTTTTGTACGTTTTTGTCTGCAAGCCTCTCTCCTGGTTTTGTCCAAACTAGTGCACGCTGTTCGTGCCCAAAGAGCTCAAACTTGCTCTCATC